CGATTGGCTGTCCTGAGGCCATGGCCACACCTCCAGGGCCTGGGCGGGGGAGGGGCCGCCGGCCGCCAGCTCTGCCCCGCATCCGCACCGCATCTGCATCCCAGCACCCGCAGGGGCGCGCCACCGATCTGGGACGCGAGCCCGCCGCGGCTCGGTGGCAGGCTGCCAGACTGAGCTCTGCTCCTTTCTGCAGGAGGCACGGTGAGCAAATTGGAGGTTATAAACACCTCCGGTGGAAGGAGTAAAATTCCTTTGGGCTTTGTGAGGGAACTTCGTCAGCGGCAACTGTCTCCAAGGCGCAAGGCGCGTGTGCTCACCCCGCCCCTCGGCCTGCTGGGCCTGGTGGAGCGCACCTTTGAAAACGGGTTACAGTTAGGGCAGCGGAGCGGGGAGAAGGTTTCTTTGAGAAGACTCATGTTTGAGGACCCTGCTGGCCCCCTGATAAGTTGCATAAGTGCTATTTTCAACATAAGGGAAAGCACAGTCATAGATGTAGTGCTGCCAAATCCATCGTGAGAGAGCAGGCTGGAAGTAAAATGTTTGGGCTTCTAACACGAGTTAAAGTTTTATTAGGAAATCAGGAGAGCACACATCTCTGACCAGGGACAGAACAGAAAAGCAGCTGGGTTCTAAAGTGTGCTGAAAATAGAAGCTAGCGGTCTAGGGTTAAGTAAAAGAAACAAAGTTCACTTAAGAATGATACTTTGACAAAGGCCTGTTAGGGAGCTCCTCGCACCTTGCAGGGGCCTGTTGCCAATATGATATGCCTTTAATATATCAACCCTCCAACAACTCACTGATACCTGAAACTCCATAATTAGCCTTACCTTTGGCTTAAAGATTCTCTCTTTAAATATCAGAATAAGTATGCTACCTTGGAAGTGTAACATCTAGATACCCCCAAAAAGAAAAGAAACACACACAGAAAGACAACAGGTTTTGAATCTAAGCTGAGTATTAATCCTGGCATCATCCATCTCTATAACTTACTTTGGGGAAGTTATTTACTGGCCTGACTCTTAAGTTCATCAGCTGTGAAATGAGACAAACACCTGTCTCAGAAGGTTGGCGTTTCAATTATGTATATAAAATTACATGGGGTCCAGACCACACACATGGTAGATATTCAAACACTAGTTTTTGTCTCCTGTATTATAGAGCGGATCACGATAAAGGAACAAGTGAGGACAACAATGAGAATGCTGGCTTCCTGGTGTGGAAATAATGAGAAGGTCAGCAAAGACTGGGCTGAGGGTGGTAGGAGAGAAGGGCACCTGGCGCCTGGTGACAGAATCTGTTTCACGAATGTGGTGATGTCATCTCTGCTCCAGGGCACATGTTGCTGCAGGTTGACATTTATTTTATTTGTAATGCTGACCGGCTGGTATGACTGTGATCTTAGAAACTGGCCTGCACCAAACAGCCAGGCCTCACCTACCGAGGAGATGAAGTGTTGGGGTGCATCTGAGCAGCTGTACTACAGAATCACCTGTAAGGGAGTGGGAGCAGGTGAAGCTATGACCAGGTGGCCGGCAGGCAGGCAAGGCAGCAGAGGAAACTAAGTGCAGCTTCTAACCTGCTGAAGCCCAGTGATGCCAGTCAGCCCACTGACCCACGGTTCAGGTAAGTGGAGTTAGAGACCTTCTTACTGACTACCAAGGACGGTCCCACACCAGTGTGCAGCCAAAGATAGTTTTCTTTTCCTTGCATCAGCACCTCCACACTTAGGGATCATCCCTTATCTCACCCTGGAGAGCCACTCATCACCATCTTCCAAAGCATGCACCGAGCAATCTCACCAACTGCTCAGCTGAATGGACCAGAGTGGGCTAAAAATGGTAGAAGGGGAAGGGCTCTGGAGCAGGCTGATGCAGAAATATATCTTTAGGCCGAGAAGGCTTTCAAAATCCAAAAGGCCACTACATAGGAGATAAATCCTCCAAATATTTCCTTCCATAATTGCTGCCCATAAAAACAAGCTTAACCTGAATGAATAGGAAAGAGGTATTTTTAATAATAAGCAGTAACAGCCAATACAAGTAATGGGACATTATTTAAAAACATTGTTAGGTCAAGACACCAGCCCTTCTGTTCCTCCAAAAGGCCTATGTGGAGCACCAGTGCTGTGCAGGACACATTTTGGAGATCACCAATCTGACAGTGTTTACTGCTGTAGTGTTACTGGAGTGGGATGTAAGCAGTTTTGCCTTTGGGAAATTTTCACAATGTAAAACTGGGGCAACAATAATATGCATACATGGATATCTTCAAGAGGTTTATTGTGTTTTTTCTTATGCAGTTGCAACGAATTGTTGGCCGTGATTTTCTGTTTAACAACCAAGATTAATAATTTTGCAACCATTCTTTCTGTTTATCTGCAATAAATTTTAAAATTCCAGTTGACCTTTCCCTGGTATACTTTTGAGTCATTTCCTCCTTCCTTCCTACGGTGAGCTGTGTGCACAAAGCATGCAGCACATTTTTAATATTAGTCTGAGCGAAATCACAATGAAAGGTAAATAAAAGCATCATACAATGCTTCCCAAAGCCAAAGGGACTGATTGTAGAGTGTACACATCAATGATTATATTCCAACAGTACAGATAATTAAAAGTTGACCATATAATAATATTAAACAGCAGGCACAACTTTTTGAAAATTTCTTCCTGGTATTAGCTATGCAGAAACCGACTGAATGTTCAACGCTAATCAAATTCATCTCTTCTTAAGAGCAGTGTATAATAAATGGGTCGCCTAAAAGGAATGCTTTGAGCAGAATGCTTCACTATTGTCTGATTATTCTAAATTTAAAACTCCAACAAAGGAAAGGATTATTCTTCTTGAGGTTCAAAATTCATGAGGATTTGGTAATGAAATTCTTTAGGAGAGCAAATAAAAAAATTGTTATCTACAAGCTGTCAGTGTTTTATGTCTGTATAGTGTTTTTAAATCAAAGTCACCATTCATTCAACAACAAATGTTTGTTTGAATAAATGAATGAAAGGAAAGGCCTCAAAATACTTTACAAGTTTAATCACCTATAAGTTATGAATCAGGCAGCAATTTTAATCATCCCCAAGTGCACGGGCTGAGATGAGCTAAATGTCAGCTCTCACCAAGCAGACCAAAACCAGACCTGGAAACTGAAGTCATGTCCTTTAATTCTTAGAAAATGACCCAGCTGTTAGAGCCTGTTGCTTAGCTGCCTTGCTGCAAACTCACAATACAATTTGGAATGCATGTTATCTAGGCCAGGTGAGGTAAGATTAAGGAAACTGTTATAACAAAACCGGGTTTGTTCCTGAAATTATACAGGTAGTCCAAAAAAGAAAAAGAAAACCCCCATCAAAATGTAAACACTGAAAATGAGATTATTAATATTAACATCTTCGCTCTAATGAGGCACATGGAGCAAATTACTCAGTGCTAGAATTGACAAACCAAGAGTCAGAAAAAAACTGTGCCTGCAGGATACTGGATGAGAGGTGGAGCCCAAGGCTCCCCAGGGGGCTTCGAGTTATTCTTCCAGCAACACTGCTAACACCCATCTTTTCCATTCTGACCTTCTAACAGGACACAATCCAAAAGCAGCCAGACACTTAAAACATTTCAATAACACAGAGGAGAAATGTAAGTAGAAGATTTTTTGCAAGTGGAATCTATTTTGCAAGCAGAAAATTCTCACGCACTTCAGAGTGAGGGTTCTCAAAACATAACTCTTAAAGTTTTCAAAATCCATGCCAAGGGAATTAAGGGAATTACTGTTACCCCCACACTAAGCTGCCCTTTGTGGCTAAGCATAAACAAAAGCACCTGCTCCAACATCTACTTTTCTGATGCCAGGGTAAGGTGAAGCAGGCTGCCCTGCCCCACACTGTAAGGTAGGTAAAGTCTGTCTACAGAACCCTTCCTCTTTTGTCCCCTAAGGTGCCTCCCCTTAAGGCTCCAGGGGTTTCTGCTCTGTAATTCTTTTCCACCCCTACTCTGTCAACATTAACAACAGTGAAACATTACATTGTTTCAAAATGAATATACTTTGGTCTTTGTTTTGACCCCTAAACAATGCTTGTCCTTTAAACTTTTTAATTTTTTAACTGAGAAATCAAAAGCTTTACTTGCCTTTAAATTCCAGTATCGGCTAGCAGCCAACATTCTGAAGTGTCTCCCCTTAATTTTAAAAGCTTATCTTGCTTCACCCTTGCTGACTGGCTATTTCAAGCCAGAACTTGCCCCTGCAGCCGCTACGTTGGTCAGCAAGGTGTTTAAAATTATTTAATATATGTGCAGACACAAGTTATCTCGTGACCGGTGAGCAGTGTTCACGGTATATACTCGTAACTGGTCAGCAAAGTGTTAAGGCCTGCCATAAAGATGGGAATTCACTGACACCACAAGCCAGGCTCATACTCCTCTGTGACCATGGGCAAACTCTAAACCTTAGTTATGCATTTGGAAAGTAGGAATTATTATAATATAATGTAACATAACATAATAATTATGAGATAATGAATATAAAGTTGCTGACACATTACTGTCTTAAAGACTAAAACTACCCTCAAAAAGAAAACAGCGGTTCTACAGCAGGTTAAGTGCAGCTCAGGTTGACTCAGCCAGATAGGCTCAAATTGCCTAGAATCACTGGGAACTGGAAAAGCCTGATTCTTATAGTTTCTAGGAGCTTGTGGCCTCGGGCCATGGCATCAGGCGCCCCCTAAAGGCAGGTCTGAGGTTAGTTTTTCTCCCCACTTACCCTTTCTCGTTTCCCCTGGCTCTTTTCCTGCCTGAGAGCCTAAGCCCTACCCAGGCCTCTCCTCCACTAATGCCCAATTACGAGGCAGAGCAATATCAATTATGTAAGTTACACTTTATGACGACAGTCAATTCTGTTTCATATGTTCAGGCTTCCTCTTTTGTGATGCATATAATTGCAGAATTTGGGAACCAGAGTGGACCTTAGGGAGATCCCTTACTCTGGGTCTTTCATTTCACAGATGTAGTAAGAGGCTTAGAGAGGGTAAGGCTTTCCCAAGGCCACAAGAGAAGTAGTCTAAAGCAGAGCTGGGAATGTAACAGGCTGCTTGTGATCTCTGCACTGCTCCAAGGCGATCCTTAAAATGCTGTGTTTTTAAACAAGGCTGCAGGGACACAATCCCTTCTCCCTCGGGTTGCAAGACCATTTGCTGACCATTCAAAATTATTCAAGGAGCACAGAAACAGGTATGGTGCTTGGGGGAAAGGGTAAGCTCAGGGACAGAGATGCTGGAGCTCTAGGTTAAGCACCTTTTGGGTGATATGATCTTTAGAAAAACTTACAGACTCCCTGTTAAGAAAATCAATAGGAGAGTCAATGTGGTGCAGTAAAAAAAAAAAATGTACCTTACCGAGTCTGAGACCCAAGGATGACCCTCAAAGCTTACTAGTTATGTGGCCCTACGACAAGTTACAGAAACTTCCTAAATTCATATCCTCTTAACCATTAAATGGGCATGATGATTATACTAATTCAAGGGGTTGTGGGATTAGTGAAATTACACGTTACTAACACCTAGCACAGCACAGGTGTGCTTAATCAATGATAAATATTCACTATTCAATCAATATTTCTTCACTACAGAATCCTTGTATAGGGCTACTAAGTAAACCTCACCTTTAAACATATGTGGTGGGTGCCTGGATGATAGAAGATGTTTCCAAGGCTAGGTATATGTTACTTCATGGATAACCTTGGAAAGCATGTTCCTAAGTGTCAGTATATTCGAGTATAATTTCAAAACAGTATATCAGTCTCTAGAATGGGAAATCTAAGGAACAGTTGCAAGAGCCAAGTCTATTTCCATCCGACATTTCAAACACTTGAAAATGTACCCATCTGCCTCAGGCAACCATGGTCAGTTGTTAGGAAAACACCTCGTGCTTTACATAAAAACGTGTTCATAGAAAACAAAGATACCAAAGGTCAAGGATATCCCTAAATCACTCCTCCTTGATCCCTGATGACGGCGTCTAGCTTATTTTTTCACATCCAAAATACGTATCTAAGAAATCGGTCACAGATCCTAATGCTACCGACCTAGGAATGCAGCTCACAACGTGTCCTTTCGGGGGTCCCTGAGGTGTCTGTGACGCCCAAGGCTGCAGAGGAGGAAGCTGCCCGGCCTGTAGACAAACGCCCCTCAACCTGTGGTGAGCCCACAGGACTCTGCATGTGTCTTATCATGAACCCTCCCCATATAATTTTATCAGTAAATGTGAGATTAAAATCTGGGAAGGAAAGAAGTCAGGAGTTTGTGTATTTTTATTTTTATTTTTTTAAGAGACAGAGGAGGGGGAGAAGAGAGAGAGAGGTTGATTTGTTCTACTTATCCATGCATTCGCTGGTTGCTTCCTGTATGTGTGCACCCTGACGGGGGATCGAACCCCCAATCTTGGTGTGTCAAGATGATGCTCTAACCAACTGAGCTACCCAGCTGGGGCCAGATCTATAACCAGATCTCCAGCTGAAAC